TCCACTCTCATCGGTTTTTGTAAATCCACATGCAGGAGTTGTTGTTCCGAGGCGAAGGCCCTTTTTAGTTCCTCAAATGCTCGCTCCGCCTCCTCAGTCCACACGAACTTCTTCTTACTGCTGAGACAGTCCGTAATGGGCGCCGTCAGGTGGGCAAAGTTTCGGATGAACTTACGATAGAAGTTCCCAAATCCTAGGAACCTCTGCACATCCTTCTTTGTTTTGGGTGTTTTCCATTCCAGTACCGCCTGGACCTTGCCGGGATCCATGGCCAATCCCTTGTCTGACAGGCGATACCCCAGGAATTCCACCTCCTTGGTATGAAACTGACACTTCTCCAGTTTCACCCACAGCTGGTTGGCTTGCAGCCTGCTCAACACTTCTCTGACGTCTCTCACATGCTGCTCCTCATTCTCAGAATACACCAACACGTCGTCTAAAAGGCCACACAATTCTTGTAAAGCAAAGGCCCCAGGACGTGGTTCATAAACGATTGAAATGTTGCGGAGCCTGCTTGTAGGCCGAAGGGCATAACCAAATATTCAAATGCCCCTAAAGGGGTGAACATAGTGGTTTTCCATTCATCCCCCTTCCTTATTCGTACCAGGTTGTACGCCCCCCTTAGGTCCAGCTTTGTGAAAATCTTTCCCTTCCGCACCCTTGTCAAAATGTCGTCAATCCTGGGCATAGGGAAGGCTACTGGTTCTGACACTGCATTTAAGGCCCTGAAGTCACACACCAGCCTCGGCTTGTTCGTGTTTTTCTTATCCACAAAAAACACTGGGCTGCCACCCACCGCCCTGGACTCTCTGATGAACCCTCTCTTCAGGTTCTTGTCAATGAACTCTCTTAACTCCTGCATCTCTCTGTCTGACATGGCGTACAGCTTGCCTACAGGGAGCTGTGCTCCAGGGAGTAAGTTGATTTGACAGTCAAAGGGTCTATGCGGGGGTAGTTGGTCAGCTTCCCTTTCGCTGAAGACGTCACGGAGATCTGCATATTGTCGTGGTACCTTCACGTTCTCTGTTACTTCAGTCCCTGCTAGGGTGGCTTGGACCCCTGCCAAACCCTTTCCCTCTTTGCAGTGTTCTAAGCAATGTGCTGAACCAAAAGAAACCACTCTCTGATGCCAGCCCACCAGCGGATCATGTAACGCTAGCCAGCTCATCCCCAATATAATGGGAGCTCCTCCCAAGGTGGCCACATTAAAAGCTATCAGTTCGGTGTGCCTTGCTACCTTCATTATCATTGGGACGGTCTGCAAGCTGACTTCTCCACCCAACAGCTCCCTGCCATCGATCGTGGTCACCTGCAGGGGCTGCTTAAAGGATTGTCTGTATCTGGTGTTCAGCTGCAAACTCTTTGCTCATGAAATTGCAGGAGCTGCCTGAGTCCAACAGCGCCTTTATCTTTAGAGGGTGTCCGTTTGGCAGCTCTAGCGTCACTTCTATCACTAGGGCGGGTTTAGGAGGTTCTGGCGTGGGCACTCTCACTGCTCTTTGGCCTGGCTGCTGTGCCTGACAGTGGCAGCCAGGCGTTGGCTTTACTTGCTCCGGTATTTTTCCTCTCTTCCATCCACAGCTCCTACCATCCCTTGCCATTCTTTCCTCTGGGGGCAGACTCTGGCAAAGTGACCTGGCTGTTGGCAGAGATAGCATTTCCGGGCGCCTTTTCCCTCCTTCTTTGCCCCCTCACTGGGCTTTGAAACTGCGCGCGCGCGCGCTGTTCCGATTTCCATCGGCTCTGCCGGTGGGAAAGTTGGCTCTGGAATGTCTGGAATGCGGAACTCCTTCCAACGTTCCCCTTTCCCTTCCCGCCTCTCCAATGCTCTCGCCTCCTGGCGCGCTCCTATGGCCAGCGCTGATTTGGTCAGCTGGTCCATAGACTCCCCCCTGGGCGCCCGGAAAGTTCGTCTTTCACAGCCGAAGAAAGCCCTTCTTCAAAGAGCATTTGAATGGGTTCCGCCGATAAGTCCCACCCCAATCTGTGAACAAGCATGGTGAACTCAGTCCAGTACTCACGGACAGATCGGCTCCCCTGTTTGCAACCCATTAACTGTCTGCGCACCACTCCCTTTTCAATATCGCTGGAAAACATCAGATCCATGGCGCGAAAGAACTTCATCGTGTCCTTTAAGACGTCACTATTCGCTGCCATCAGGGGTCTAACCCAGTCTCTCGCCCCCTTTTCAAGATGCTCAATCACGAAAGCCACTCGTGATTCCTCGTCAGGAATTCATCAAACTGCAGATTGAGGGCATATTGCATTTCTGTCCGAAAACCATGATAGTTTTTGGGCTCCCCCCCAAACTTCTGCACCAATCCTGGTACCTTTCTGGCGAACTGGGTGGCTTTCCCCTTTTGTCTGCATCCTGAGCCCTCCTCTCCTCAAGCCTCGCCGTCTGCATCGCTAGCTGGACCTCCAACATCTGGTACCTTTCTTCCAGGCTTGGACCCGCTCCAGCTCCTGCTTCTCCGGTTCCGGCTGGGTTGCTCATGATGCCTTCTCCTGCACAAGCTGCTTTCAAAGACTGTCGGAATGCTGTGATGGGATGATGAGCTGCTTGTGCGTAAAATCGTATCCCCTCAGAGTTTGTTCAAGTCCACAAACCTCTGTCTGTGATGAGCCCCTCCAGACATGGCTACTCTAGTCACTAGCAGATTCCGACAGTGGTTGCTTTCGTAATCGCTTCCAACATAAAAAGCTCCTTAACGGAAACACGTCTTCTGGAATCTCTGCGTGACAGTTTCCGGCGAGGAGTGGGTGTTCTTACAGGAGGTCCTGAAACCTCCCCACTGTTTTCGCTGGAAGTGTCTCTGAGCCATCCCTCCAGCTCAGCTCCTCTCCCCCTGCTGGTTCCTTCTTCAGCTGCTGCGTCTCCCAACCTGTGTGAGCCCTTTCACCTCCCTGTTGGTTCCCTCTTCAGCTGCTGCGTCTCTCCCAACCTGTGTGAGCCCTTTCACCTCCCTTCCGTCCGATGGCAGTTCCCTGACAGGTACCTTTACCTTTAAGCCCACAATTTTGCAAGGAGGAGATCTCAAGGCAGGATGGAATTGCTGGGATAAGTCACGCCCCTCCTCCATATTCGTTCCAGCTCTACACATCTCTTTCCCCGAGCCTGTCCAAAAGAAAATGTTACTGGAACACAACGCCTGCTGGACGGCGGACCAGCCCTGTTTAGGCGTGAAAGTTTCAGCCGGTGTAATATGTTCCATTTCTTTAATGAATAATAGTCCTCATAAAGGGATGGGAAGGAAGGAAAATTGGATAACCCTCAGAGGCCAAGGCGTGGTGCTTTTTCTTTTTGAAAGCAATTGATAAAGAAAGACTTCAAGGCTTCAAAGACTGAGCTGGGGCGGGGAGGAAGGAGGACGACTCTGGACTGGAAAACTGGCCTCTGAAGCCCCCAGCAATTGGGTGGCTGGGGAGACAGAAAGAGTGAGAGACTTTGGCCCACTGATATGAAACTTAGCCAAGCCTGTAGAATAGGAAAGAGGAACTGGCTTGATAGAGGCACAAGGGATCTCTGAAGGCAAAACTCGAATAGCGTTAGAAATAAAGGTCTGTGGAAGGGAGTCGGTTTTTAAAAAAATTGTTGCTAATCTTATCAAAATCCTTTTAACTACCCTCCTCAACAACTCCGCAGCTATTTCACATTAAGCGGGGCCCCTCTTTATTGTATTTTTTTTTTTAAAGAAAATTACATGAAAAACAAATGCAATGGGTTTTATATCAAACTCTTGTTTAAAATAAATAAGCGAGCCAAACTCACCCGCTTCCCGGACAACACTTCAATCCCCCGAACACAATATAAGCTTGTTAAGTGGAGTGGAAAAAATGATTTAGAAAATTCAATATAATCAGAATTTTTGTCCATGAAAAATATGTCAAAAAGCTAAATAAAAAAATTAAAGTTATTAAAAAGATCCAATAGCAAACATCTGGAGAGGTAACTGAAAGCTGAAAGCTATAGTACAATATGTTTCCAAGCACAATTCAAAGTGTTGGTGCTGATCTTGAAAGCACCAACCCATCGTTCTGCCCAGACACTAAGGTCCAGCGCCAAGGGCCTTCTGGTGGTTCCCTCAATGTGAGAAGTGAAGCTACAGGGAACCAGGCAGAGGGCCTTCTCGGTAGTGGCACCCGCTCTGAGGAATGCCTTCCCATCAGATGTCAAGGAGATAAGTAAATATACAACTTTCAGAAGACATCTGAAGGCAGCCCTGTAGAAGTTTTTATTGTTTTGTTATGTTTCTATATATATGCTGGAAGCCACCTAGTCATTTGGACAGCATATAATTATCACCACCACCACTTTTCACCTGTGTAATGGGTGCCCATGTTAGATTTCTAAATTGTACCCCCCCACAAAAGGTTGCAGACCTCCAGGTTAATGCGACACTGCCCTTAGGAATAGAGTTCCTTTCATACAGTAAGCCAAAGCAAAGACTTGGAAGCAGCAAAATCCTGCCCCCTCCCTGGGATCGGATGAGGATGACAGCTCCCAAAGAGAAAATTCAGATCAGCGGATGTATCCGATTTTCCCAGAAGCCGCAACAATGCCCAAAGGGCTGGACCACCCAGAGGGCGCTGCCAATCTCCCTTCCCGAGCTCGTTTCTCAACAATGATGCCATGAAGACATCTGCCCCTCGCTCCCGTCCGTTCTTATTGGGAAGATAAACTTTCCCTGGGCAATACAGTAGGCCTGGACCCAGACCAGCAACGTGAACCTTGAGTCATCAAAAGGTCTGTTATCAGAAACAATTGCCTCTCTTACATCCTGAACTTACTTCCTTTAATAACTTCCTCTGCCGTGAAGTGTGTGTTTGTTTGTTTTTGAAACTTTTTTTAAAAAAATCATTAATAATAAAGAATGGGGTGGTACCCTTCCCTCAATTATAGGACTTGTCCGGACAGAGATCAGACCTACAGACTGATTTTCCAGTCAAGTAACAGAATAATGTTCTTGCTTTTTTTAAAAAAGGATTAGGTTTCTCACAGTGCAGCAGTTGTGAGTGTTCCATGTTCCCCTTGGATTCTACTTTTAAAAAGGGGTCGTGAACTCTTTGTCCTGGGTACGAAGAAAAGGTGTCTATCTTGAAGATTGCGGCATCCCCAGACTTCTTCACATGGGAATTGGTTCCAGGAGAACGATACAGGGGATGGAGGAGATTTTCCCTTTTGAAAGGTGGAGCCAGACGCCCTTCATCTGTTACAAGGGAGGGATTATCAGATTTTGAGTAGGAAACAACGGAGATTGGAATAAAGGTTTTTCAGGAGGGACAAAGGGTGGATACGGAGAGGGTGTTTCGAGCCTGCCTGTTTGTTCAATCCTCTTGAAAAGTGACTTCTGCAGAAATTCACAAGCATATACAGTGGTGCCCCGCAAGACGAATGCCTCGCAAGACGAAAAACTCGCTAGACGAAAGGGTTTTGCGTTTTTTGAGTCGTTCCGCAAGACAAATTTCCCTATGGGCTTGCTTCCCAAGACGAAACGTCTTGCGAGTTCTTGCGAGTTTGTTTCCTTTTTCTTAAAAAGCCGCTAAGCCGTTAATAGCCGCTAAACCGCTAAGAGCCGCTAAGAGCCGTGCTTCGCAAGACGAAAAAACCGCAAGATGAAGTGACTCGCGGAACGGATTAATTTCGTCTTGCGAGGCACCACTGTAAATCATAGGTGTCAACTTACAGATTTGAAAGTAAGGGATCAGCAGCCTCGAAAATAAGGGATCAGCAGCCAAAATAAAGGGATCAACAATTACTTTGATAAAATACATATTTTGTTGCGTGCAAATGGCTTTAGATACCTATTAGGTCCATAAATTACCATATAGCATATATTCAACACAAAAAACAGCAACAATTTGTTGTTGACAAAGCACAGCTGGACATAGAAAGGGCCCCATTACCTTCAGTAGCTTATTAAAGGGACATCATCAATAAGGGACAGAAGCGGGACATGGCGCTGGGATAAGGGACTGTCCTGCCAAATAAGGGACGCTTGACAGCTATGGTATAAATCTATCCCACCACAGGCGTATTTATTTATCCCACCACAGGCCTATTCTTTTATCCCACCACAGGCCCATTCTTTTATCCCACCGCTACCACCAATTTTGCGGCGTTCATACAGAGCCTCTGGTCATCTCACGGACTATTGACCCGTACACCACTAATCTACTGCCACCAACTAGGTCCTGCCCGGTAAATCACTTAATCTCAGTCAGGTTCTCACGTTAACAGTGTAGTTTATTGCAGACACAAACAAACTTTAACTGCATTCCAAATGTTGTTACTCTTTACCTTCTTAGCCTTATTTTATCCTGTCTTTATCTCTTCTACCTCCCCTCACCTAAGAACCAACTGCACGAGCTTTCTCTCTATTTCCAACTGCTTTTCCAACTGCCTTTCCCAACCAACCAACCCACTAAAACCAACCAGCTAACCACCAACAACTAACTCAAACCTTGGGCTAAGCCCTTTTATATACAGGTAGGCTCCGCCTCCAGCTTTCCTATTGGTTTATATATTAACCCTTTCTCTCCCCCTGTACAGACATTTTTTCAAATGAATGGGCAAATGCCACAGAACCCTTTCAAAGTGGACTGGAGAGACAGGCCCTGAAGCTCACTGGTTAACCTCAGACCAGTTGCCATCTCTTGAGGTAACCTACCTCACAGGGTTGTTGCGAGGATGAAATGAGGAGGAGCGCCATGAACATGACCTTTAGCTCCTTGGAAGGAAGGAAGGTGGTATATAAATGTAGTAATCCAGGGGTCAGCAAACTTTTCCAGTAGGGGGCCGGTCCACAGTCCCTCAGACGTTGTGGGGGGCCGGAATATGTTTTTTGGGGGGAAATGAACGAATTCCTATGCCCCCCAAATAACCCAGAGGTGCATTTTAAATAAAAACACACATTCTACCCATGTAAAAACACCAGGCAGGCCCCACAAATAAACCAGAGGTGCATTTTAAATAAAGGGACACATTCTACTCATGTTAAAACATGCTGATTCCCGGACCGTCTGCGGGCCGGATTCAGAAGGCGATTGGGCCGGATCGGCCTCTGGGTCTTAGTTTGCCTACCCATGTGGTAAACAAATAAATACTTTTTGATGGGGGGAGAGAACAGAGTGCCTAGTCCCTTCTTAAAGTTTTTTATTAACAATTTCAAGATAACAAAATATCAAAACATATCATATTCATTATTTCCCCCTCTTTTTCCCATCTCCCCATCAAAACCTCCCCCCTGAGACTTCCCTCAGCTCCTCTCTCTGATTTCTCAACACCTATTATTCTCTGCATACTGAAAAATTGTGTAAATCCTTATATTATCTGTCTACTATGTTAACAATCAGTAAATTTGTGTATGTTTATTCAAAACCTGCCAAGGAGTCCAATTCATTGTGTTGTCTTTTTAAGTAATTTGTAAAAGCCCCTTCTATCCCTCCATTGCTGGGTTCC